TATTTTTTTTATAATATTTTCTAAATAAATCAATGTGTAATCATCACTAGTTTACAGCAGTAGTGAGAGCCTAAATTTCTAATTCAGCGCACTCATATACATACACGTACACGTACACGCACACACACAGACACACACATAGGTATGCATTTTATACAACATTTTAGTCAAAATGATCAACACACAAAAAGTGACTGTCAGCGTTGCTGCGAATATTCACTTTCTTTTCATCACACTTTTGTACATCCCTACATTGATATGATAATAACGCTTCGTTTCGGTCATACGCATGTGGACAGGACATCATCAATGCTGTATGTAAGTATGTGTGTGTGTGCGCACGTACACGCTCGTCTCATTGTTGTTGTCTTATGATTTTGAGTTATCCTCAGAAAAAAAATTAAGATAACTACTAGATAAGTTATCTTCTTTATTCTCTTTTCTTTTTTTTTCTTCTATAAATTTTCTTCTTCCTTTTTATTTTTGTTCTTGAGGTGTTTTCTTTTCGTTCTGATTTCTGTCTATTGAGAATAATTTATATCATCAAAAAAAAAAGAAATTGTTAATCTAGGATTTTTCTTTTCTGTTTATAATCAGTAAAGCCAGGAACAACAATAATACACACTTATATTATACAAGCTAACATGATTACCCACCCATTCATAAGTATATATACATATACATAAAATGTATAATCAACGATGTATATATAGAATACACGCATTACGGATGGATGAATAACTGCAGTAAGCATATACATACATATAAGCCGATTTAACTGAATACACTTTTGTTCTTATTAGGAAATAGCAACAATAACAATAGAAACACAAACACTTGTGTACACAACTATGAATAACACGTTATAGACAGTGGAATTATTATTATTATTATTAGTATTTTTATAGTATTGGATTATTCTTTAGAGACAATATACTTGAATAAAATCTATGGAAATATTAAAAAGATAATAACGTTTATGTAATTGTTAGGTTTGTCATTCACTAGATACGCTTGAAACTATTACGGATTCAAATTGGTCGATAAACGCGAACGAGACAATGAACCAGCGTCCAGGTAGGCTACCTTGATCTGAAACGGCTAAAGATAAGTCTAGATATAGCGTAGAAAGTGTATTCTACAAACACTCAGTAAACATAATGCAATCAGGCACACAAATCTCGTTTATTTATACATCATAGAAACGTCCTTGGGACAGTCACAAAAATAGCCCACTGAAATACACAGCAACCAATCACAACCAAGGATTTTCCTGGTGGGAAATGTGATCTCAAGGTCAACTGATCAGCCCATGCTCGCAAATGTAAAATCCAAAATAAGGCATTTATCAAGCGAATTCTGGGGATCTATCATCCCCAACAATAATGTTTTTTGGTAATTTCTATATGATGTTACTTTTTGTTCACATGTTGATGACGAGATGAATTGAGCATGCAGTCTTGAAATTAAAATAATTGTACTCTGTTACCATACCGTTATGATGACATAAATTTTTTTTGAAATAACTATTAGCTCATTGAGTTCATGAACATGTTAAATTATTTAAATGATCATTCCACATTCTGCTATGTGATTCCTGTTACTAAATGCTATGAATAACCAAAAGCAATAATGGGACCACAAAAATAAAATATAAATTGACTATCCTAACTGATTATACTTAATGAAACAGAATGTTTTGAAAAACTATATTAAGATTGGTATTTATTAGGAATTGTGTTTATAACAAAGTGTACCAATGTTTATGTTTCTCATGAAGACTTATAATGTCGAGTCTTTTGACTAATGATATAAAAACACATAATGATGAGTACAAACAATGCACTGTATAAAAACCAAGCATTAGAAGGTAAAAGAGATAGTGTTACTGGCAATATTTCGTAGAATTAATTGTCACTTAAGATGATTTATGTAGTTTTTAAACCTCTGTTTATCCAATTCGTATACAATTAGTTGACATAGCTAATTTAACTGTAGTAACAAAAAGTGCACTTCTGGAGATAAACTTACAAAGGCAATATCTTGATACGACACTAGAAGTAATTTAATATTACAATCACTCGAAACTAATGATTTAAAAAAGTTAGTTCTTTCAGCATCTAATTCCGAGAGGTTACCTACATTAATCAAGCAGTAATAAGTTATGACTGAAAGGAGTTTACTAAGGTTGCCGCATTTCATTACCGATGTATTTTGTTTTGGACTGTACTTACGGATGACATTGATGTAGTTAGTAATTATTCAGCTGTGATTTTTGGCGCTCATCATTCATTAATGAGTAGCGAGGCCAGTTGATCAACTTATGTATATTATGTGATCAGCAATATTCACTGTCAGAGCCATTCTATCTTATTTAGTCGGAATTGTATTATCACAGAAGATAAACTAGATAATTCCAGAAAAATCCAGATGAAATTAAGGTATTGATAATAATAATATTATTAATATTAATAATTTCACAGGACACCTACTCATCATTTTATTTGAAAATACGATGAAGCTTCACAAATACTCTCTAAATTAAACATAAATTAGTATAGACATTTTAAAACAAAAATACTCAAGTTTATTAACTATCAGATTTCTGTTCATTTTTATATTGTTAGAATTCATAGTTTACTTAAATTAGATAGATAACAGAAGAAAACTCTCTTGACTGTCTTTTTCTCTTTTGACATCAGTATCATAAACATGCAATCATTGTTATGTCAGACAATAAATTTAACATATCTGAATAACTTTATTTAAACCAACTGAAGGACCATTCCATGTAGAATTACACACTGACTACTCCAAATGAGAACAAACCAAAGTTCTTATGACTAATAGCAATCACCTTACTATTTAATCAGTTTAATTTGAATCTTGTGGCGTGAATTTATTGCTTGCTTTTCATCCTATGACATCAATGAATTACTGTGTTATTATTGATTTCATAGACTTTTCACGTGCTCAGAGTTAGTAAATATTGACTTATAAATTATGAATTCCATACTGTTTGGAAACATATATGTGCACTGCGAACGAGTACTTTCTTTCTGATTTTCAATGATTCTTCAACGGATATGTATCTGTAATAAAAAATCACTATTCAACTATATAAAAGTTTTATAAAATCACTGAAATGGAATGTAAATTTACTGTGTTTAAATCATACAAACCATATTCAGTAAAACCTAATCTTAATTTCTGTGTTTATCATCACTGTGTATTTCAATAATCTTCCATTTAGTTAGTCATTTCACTTTTATTCATGTCTTATTTTAAACACCAAATAGGTTAATTAACGTAGAAACAAAAGGATTAAGTTTTTGATAATAGGAAGTTATAGGTCTACTAGTCTGTGATTAGAATTGTCATGGGCATAGCAAAGAATGCTTTACTTTATTTAACAATAAAATGTATTCGACTATATCTACGTCTAGAATCACGAAAAAAAATATAACACTGTAATAAAGATTTTATATAAATAAACATACAATTTAGTGAGAAATAATTATTTCTGTGTAATGTAAACTGAATTTCTGTCAAAAATTGTACATTGAAATATTTTTGTTCATTGTGTGAAGATGAAAATGACAAGAAATTTTTCTAACAATAAATATCATATCTTTAAAATAGATCATAGAGTTCATTTTTTAGCAGACAATTAAAATTCTTATTGTAAACTGTGAGAATTAATTTTACTGCTACACTAATTATTATAATAACTTATTGTGAAAATAATTAATTCACTGATGAAATCAAAAAAGAATCAACTAACCATTTGATTGTTGAATAATCATTCGGAAAGATTAACTGTCATAGTAGTAGTAGTCTTAAGACACATGTGACATGATTTTTCTTGGGAAAGTAAACATGAACTAAGTTATTACAAAACCTATTGTACAAAAATTAAAGAATTTTATATCAGAAAATTGGACTACCTGAAAAACTAAAGACTTATTTGAATACAAATAACTCTAACTTGTCACCATTGTAATCCCAGTAAGTTGTCTAATATCAGACTGATTAATGATGTCTGGGTATTTGAATGACGAATATTTTATGTCTAGTGAATTATTAGTGTTTGCTACTGCAATTCCACTGTCTTATAATTTGTGGTTTATGTACAACTCTTTCTTTTTTGATGATTCGTAAACTATAGATTTAATAGCGGAATTTGTGATGTAGTTTCTATTACTCAAAAAGTATATACGCCGTGTTTGATGACAGGTGAATTTGCATGCGCTTGGAAAACTAAGTGAATAACTAAAGTATACTAGCATTAGAAGAATGACCCAATACTAAGTTATCTCAAACAGGTTTGCAATGTTGTAGTAAGTTGGTCAGTGAGTTTCATTTGATTCAAACACAAAGTTCAAAACTGTCGAAGATGTTTGACTAATGGTCAAAAGGAACTCAAATTAAATAAAAAACAATAAAATTTGAATGTATTGAAAAGTTACTTTGCTCTACCGTTTAACTCAGCACTATACACTTCTTACTGAACATGAGATCATACTCAAATCTCATGGTGAGTGTTGTATTTTCGGCCACCATATAAAAATCAAGTTGTTCGTACTTCCGATGTCAAGCACTTTACAACATTGCACGATCCTCATCCATTGAATTCCGATCCTGTAGTCTATGTTTATCCCGCATGATACGATATCTGAATCTGCTGCAATCAATTCTCTGTAGGTTTGTGAGCTTATGCGATTAACGAATCTTAGAATAAATGCTCACTGATTTAAATAGCTTATCTTAATTAATGTAAGTCCATGGTAAAGCTTATTTTCTGAACCGTATTCATTATGAAATATTTTCTGAAAGATTCACGAAAACTTATCAGTTTGTCTACTCACCAACAACTTACAGTTTTTTGTGTGAAAGCTATTATTACCATTTTAAATAAAAACACATGAGGAGATCTAAAGTCAATTGATTTAATCATTAAATACGTACATAATAACAACATTGAAATCTTTATTTTACAG